TAACCTATAGATAAACTCAGCAGTGACAGACCCACACTTCCCAAGAGAAATCAGGGTCTCATGTTCCACTGAGAGTAGGTTGGAATGTTCACAATGCCAGGCACGTGACAGCTTTGCGTGAGTACTGGGCAGGACCAGGGAAGGCAAAGGAAAGCTTAGATACGGGCTTCCAGGGACACCACATACAAAATCCAATGGCGAACAGCACACTGGAAATAAGTGCAACATACATGATAGGAAAGCAAGGGTTAATTTCCTATATATGAAGAGCTGCTGCAAAAAATCAATAAGAAAAAGATAAATACCTTTTAGAAAAGTGAGGAAGGTTGAGAAATAATCAATTACAAAGGAAGAATGACGACTAATATATTGCCGCCTGGGTGACCTGAGCTCATTGCGCACCCGGCCTTCTCTTAAATTTGTTCTCAAGATTTGTTCTTTCAACTAGGCTTGCCATGGTGATCATTTCATAAGGTATATAAATGTCGAATCACTACGTTGTATATCCAAAACTAATACAATATTCTACGTCAACTATACTTCAATTAAAAAAAAAAAAGACTTGCTCTTTCAAGTGTGTCCTAAAGATGCATGTTCAGGACCCAGCTTGTGAGGTCCAGAGAGAAGTCTTATCAGGCCAGATGAGGTAAAGGTGGGTGCTGCACAGCTTGCTCCATCAGTGGGAGAGATGCTGCTGTACAGAAATGGTTCCAAACATGGAACAAAGGGGGTCGTGAACTATAAAAGCATAATCCATTGATTAATCCATAAACAGGCATTGGTTGAAGACCTCTTTTGTCTCTAGCACTGTACTGTGCCCCGTGGGGAGCACGAGCTCCAACGCCATCATCCATCCACCCCACCCACCGCCGTGGAAAAGAGATGGCCTAGATCATACACGTGGTTTTCAGTTCTGGCTGCACATTAGAATCCCTGGAGAGCTTTTTAAAAATACAGATGCCTACTAGAGTGCTCATAGCAGCACTGCTTGTAAGAGCTCCAAACTGGAAACTATCCAAATGCACATCAACAGTAGTATGGATAAATAATTACGGATTGTTCGTGTAATGGAGTACCATTTAGCAAGGAGAATGAAAGATCGACAACTACATACAACAATGTGGATGAATCTTTTTAGTGTAATGAGTGACAGAAACGAGATTAAAAAATGCCATACTTAAATGTACCATCGTCATGTGAGATGTTAACAAGAGGGAGACTCCATGCCAGGCGTATGGGAACTCTCCGTACTACCTACATGTTTTCTGTAAATTGAAACTGTTCTAAAATTTAAAAGTTTATTCAAATATGAAGAAGTCATACTGTATGATTCCAGTTATGTCCAAGACGGCAAAATTTGTCCTATGTTATTAGACGCCAGGGAAGTGTTCACCCTGGGAGGAGCGGGGTCTGGAAAGGTACAGGAGGGGACTCGGGGAGGTGATAATGTTGTGTGTCTGGATCTGTGTGCTGGTCACATGGACATGTTCTGCTGTGAAAATTTATGGAGCTGGAAACTTCTGTGCACTTTCTGCACGTAATATTTTATTTCAATAAAAAGTTAAAATCTATTCTGATGTCCAAGGCTGCCTAGATCAATGAAATCAGATTTCTTGGGAGGGCCTGGGCATTAGTATTTTATAAATCTCCCTAGATTATTCTCATGTGCCCCCAGGATGGAGAGCCCACTGCTGTTTGTCCTGTAGGCAGTGAGAGGAGCCAGAAACCAGCACAGAGTTGGGAGAGCTTTCCGGAGAAGGCAGAACATGAGTGGATCCTCAAAGCCTGGGAGGGGTTGATGAGGCCAGCAGGCCTCCGCAATAAATGAGCATTGTGAGCCCGGGAAACGTTCAATTTCCAGTTCTCATTTTTCTATTTTTCTAGTGGTAGCTACACTTTCACTTAGAAACTTGATTCCCCATGTTAAGCACTCTTGTCACATGTTGACCCTTAGGTTCAAAAGCTGTGAACAGGGTCTCACCAGGCTTCATGCAAATAGAATTAAAAAGCAATTAGTCTTGTGTCCCTGAAACACTATAGTTTACATAATTTGTACTCTTTCTTGTATTTCTACTCAAGCCTCAGTAAGCCCTCAAGAAAGCATGCTTGAAATAAATGATTGGAAAAACAAGGCTCAGCCTTTGGGTTGGACCCCAGAAGCACTCCCTGTAGTGTTAGTGGTCGACTGCTGACACATGATACATCTCAGTGTATAAAAGTGGGGAAGGGAGACTACTTTGGGGCAAGAATTGAAGGGTTCCTGGCTTATGGAGGAACTTATATCTGAGGGTGTTTGCCTATTTATGATTGTTATTAGTCCAGACGGTCCAGTGGGCTTGCTGATAGGTTTCTTACTTATAAGGGAGAGAGAAGCTACAGAATATCCACTAAGAGCATTTGTGAACTTACGGTTGGCATTTTCGTTCTCATGGCCTTTACTTCCTCGGGCTCATTCTGGGTAATGAGGATAATAACAGCCAGCCTTTATTGAGAACCCACATCACGCCGGGCACTTTGCAGGCCCTTCCCATGAACTATCTCATTTAATCCTCACTTCAATCTTACGAATCCCCTCTTGATAGATGAGAAAACTGAATCCCAGGACTAATAATTTATCCAAAGTCCCACCACCTGTTGGAAGCAGAGCCAGTTATGTCGAAGCAGCTGACTTCCAGACCATGTTTTAACCATGGTGTGATGCTGTCACAGGTGTCCTGTAGAGTTGAGATGGTGTGGCCCTGGAACAATTTGTCCCTGAAGCCCTTCCCTCCCCAACTTCCCAACCCAGATTCACCCCACCCCATCCTACATCTCACAAGGTGTCACCTCGCCCTTTCTTCCTCTCCCTCCGGCTACCTGTTCTCATCTCCTGATACTCGCATTTATTCGGAAGAGATGTTTCTCCTTCTTCCCCAACTTCGCATCTCTAGAAGAGGGGCTGGTGAATTAAACCGTGCTAAGACTTTCAGGATTTGCTGAATAATTTCTCTAGATTGCACTTGACGAGAAGCTCCCCAAGGAGGACAGTGCTTACCACCCATGAGTGTTTATCAAGGTGACGTAAGCTAGCCCTGGGCTCAGCAAGCTACAGCCTGCTGGCCAAATCCTGTTTTGATAAATAAAGTTTTACGGGAACACAGCTGCGCCCCTTTGTGTATTTATTATCTATGTCGCTTTGGCACTGCAGCTGCAGAGTAGAGTAGTTATGACAGAGATAGAGACCGTATGGACCACAAAGCTGAAAATATTGGCTATCTGAGCCCTACAGAGAAACTTCCCTCCCCCAGCGCTAAGTTAACCTTTGGAGAGGGTCTGGGGCAGAACTTGGTGCCCAGGCGCTCGATAAATCGCAATATCCTCTTCTGCAGGTTTCAGGTGTCTTCGTGTGGTGAATTCCGGGCAGGAGAAGCATTCTGAACTCACGTCATGTGGGTCCTTGCTGCCCCTGCCTATTCATGGCAGGCAGTGGAGGCCACAATCCCCACTGAAGGTTCATTTGCACTTTGGCAAAGTGGAAGAGTGACAAGCGCACTCCTAGAAACAAAGCCATGTATTATTCATTTTGCAGAGGAGTGTTTCCTGGTGTGCTAGCAGCAGGGAAGCCCCAGCTGGGGTGGGAGCAGCCTGGGATTGTGAGGGTCATCTCTGTGCCAGGAGCAGGGAGCGGGACGACAGGGGTGGCTGCCTCAGTGCCACAGATGCAGGACAATTATGTGTCCTGACAGCTCTTTCCTTCATCAGATAAAAGAAGAGACTTTACTTCTCTTTCAAAATATGCTTAAGTTATCAAAAACTGAAATTAGTCTTGAAACACTTGAAGTTAACTGCAGTGTCTGCTTCTTTATTACGTTTTTGTTAGGGACCACATTCCATCATGTAATGCTCATTTGCCACTGGTTAGAGGCAGGGCTGGTGTGGACAAAGTCAGATGGCTAGGCTGCCGAGGTCCTGCTTCACACTCTCTCCTGGGAAGCTGTTAAAGGCACCCTCCCCAGCTCCTTCATGAGTTCTGCCTTCTCTAATTTGAGGGGAGCAGGGGTTCTTGCATTTGCAGACCCTTCTCTCCAGGAATTGTATTTCCCATCCTAGAGATATCCAGGTACCGGGATCTAATAGTGGGATGACTTAGAAGATCTTACCTTTTTAATTGGTCACATGTGACTTGATTTCCCTCACCACTCTAATAAGATTTGTCTCTGTGAGGTTGGTACAGTGATGGAGATTGGAATTAATAAGAAATTAGTCCCGTTGTCTTAGCCTGGCTTCCCTAGAAGGCAGAGCTTAAGGCCTAGGCTTACTGGAATAACTTAATTCCAGGGAGCAGGAGCGAGGACCAAGGGGAGCAAGGCAGGAAGGAGGAGGGATGTGGATGTGTTGTAGAGCTGGTCTCCTCTAAGCGAGATGGAGCGCTGCATCTCATGAGGCCGTTGTCCAAGAAAATATATACACTGGGTCTTGGGACAGTCAGACCTGATGGGAGAAAGGAAGAAGAATCTATCTACCAGCTCCCGTCTTCCTCAACAGCCCCTAAAAGTTTTGTCCACGAGTTCTTAATGCCCCTGTGCTTCCTAGCTACACAAGTGGGCCCTGCGTGGGGTCCTGAGAAGTCCCAGGGCTCCACGTCTTAGGTGTGACCAGCCTGGCAGCACCCTGCCCATGTCCCTCAGCACTTTGTATTTCTGTACACATCTCGGCTTTCTGGGGGAGCACCACCTGCAGCCCTCTGCCTGAGGCTTTCTCTGGTTTCGGGAGCATGCCTGGTCCACATACCAGGGAGTTAACATCCCTGGGAGCTGAGAGTTGGTGGTTAAATAGTCCAGCACCACTCCTTTGGGTGAGCCAACTATGCTGCATGTGCTCTGTGGTCTCCCAGAGGCTACCAGTGGCACGGAGCCCCCCCCTTACCCACTGTGACAGCCTCTCATTGACACGCCCTTTACTGGCTTCCTTCTCTTGCCCATCTCACTTGTCACTCCCTTATCAGTGTTTCTGGGGTTCTCTCTAAATTCTTATCTCTGAGTCTGCTTCTAGGAGAACCCGAATGAAGTCAATAGGAAGGCCCTGGAGGAGGTGAGAGGCACACCGCATGGGCCTGCAGTGGGTGCTGCCATACTGCACCTGTGTAGATTCTCCAGCTGAGTGACAGTTGGAATGGAAGTCAAGGGAGGCTGAGGGGATCTAAAGTGATGCATACAGGTGTCTGATGGGTGTGTGCTACACCTGGCAGGAAGGGTGACCCTTCATTACTTTAAGCGAGCTCTGAGTGAGTATTGACCCTGTGCAGAGACTGCTGGCACTACACGTGGATCAGTGCAGTGAAGGCTCCCAATGAGAAGCAGGCGGTTATCATTGACCACGTTTCACAAATAAGAAAACCGAAGCTCAGAAGGATGAAGGAATCTGCCAAAGGTAATACAGTAAGAAAGGGCAGAGGCAGGACTTGAACCCAAGGCAATCTGCATCTAGGGGCTGTGCCTGAAGTTAATAGTTAAGGATGGTGCATCATTTTTTTTGAGGAAGATTAGCCCAGAGCTAACATTCGCCACCAATCCTCCTCTTTTTGCTGAGGAAGACTGGCCCTGAGCTAACAGCTGTGCCCATCTTCCTCTACTTTGTATGTGGGACACCTGCCACAGCATGGCTTGATACATGATGCATAATTCCGAGAGCGGGATCCTAACTGGCGAACCCAGCCCGTGGAAATGGGAGCGTGCAAACTTAACCACTATGCCACCAGGATGGCCCCCATGGATGGTACATCTTACCTATTCCTATTTGTAGGTTTACCATGACTCAATTTAATTTTAGGGGACAGAGCTGTTCAGGCATCCTGTTCCACTGATCTCCTCCCAGACTCAGTTCCTCAGTTGAGTGCAAGAGTGAGTATGTGTGACTGTGGGTGTATGCATACTGGGTGGTGGGAGCGTGGGAGCTGGGGGTTAAAATGTAGACGCCCCTTTCCCTGCAGTGTTACCCAAAGAAATAACCTCCCACCCTTTGTAATCAAAGCAGAAGCTGGGTCTGAGGCTTGCGTCTGGGTTTGGGTCCTTTTCCAGGACCAGAGGCTGTTTCTAAATGAGGCTCTACCCTACTGGTCATCAAATAGCACAAAGCAAAACAACTTTTTGATGAGTTAAGTGTAAATGAGTCAGAGGCAGAGAGATTAAATTTTCCCTCAAATACACACAGGTTAAAAAAATTACAGTCTCCCAAGAGCCTGGCTCCTCGAGGACAGAGTTTTTGCCAAGTCAGCACACTGGAGAAAGAGCCTGTGACTCTCTGCCAAGCCCCAAGCGCCACTGACTTCCTTGTCTTAGCTTCTTGCTGAACCCGGGAGGAATCCATCTTCCTAAATCCTCACTGTCTGTCAGAGCTGAGAGCCCATTTCTGTGCAAATGATTCATTGTTATAATTCGTGCCACCTCCTCATAGACTCAGGGACTTTTCATTTTTTACATCAATTCCTGTGTAGTATTTCAACAAGCCTCTTTTCCTCTCCTAGCTCCCTCCTGTCTTTCCACTATTCTCTGCCAACACATTCAAAACAGGAGTTTGAGACAGGGCTTTCTTTGAGTCTAGCCCCGAATCTCACTCCGCCTCTGGCTGTATATCTCTGACAGGTGCAGAGCAGGCAGGAGAAATGACAGCATCATGCAAAATGCAAGCAAATATGGTACCGTGCACCAACATTTCTCCTGCTAGTGCCCCTTTGGGTTGCAGTGAAATCACCCTTGGGGGCGACTTTTGTTTTTTACTTAAACAAAGAAAACACTGTGGATATATTCATCCTCCAGTTCCACTTTTAACATCACAACAGTTAGAAAAAGATTAGAAGGATTTTGATTATCTAGAAACTTCCCATTGCAAGGTTTCGGGTAAAAATGTGTCCCCCATTGCAGGGTGGCTATAAAAGTGAAAATGTATAGGGATATGGAGGCGACCCTGAATACTGGTGGCAGAGGGCAGCGGGATGGCATTTTTAAGGAGCACAGAGGCTGACGGGTGTGAAAACTGAGCACGACAAGACCAACTTTCCTTGATTTGCTCAATTGCAGGCAATTCTAGTTCTAAGGTGAGTGAAACGAACAACCTAGAGCCAGGAAAATAAACTTCTTCTCTTTGTATTTTAGTACCAATGGATATGGTTTCCAAAACTGAGCCACTGGCTCTTGCCAATTCCTTTGCATTCGGTGTGGGTTTTAATGAGCACCTAGAGTGTAGTTGTCTCTCACGGCTGTTTGCAGAGTATCCAGATGATGCCTCAGGAGAACCCCACTAGTCGAACCTATGGCATCTCCACCTGCAACATTCCAGGGGGCTTGTCCATTCAGGCGTTTTTTCCTGTGGATCCTAGAAGGCGGTTGGATCTGAATGTGGAACAGATTCCAGAGAACATGCACAGCAACCTGTCAAATGTTCTGCTGGGTTGGTGGCATACACTAGTGTAGAATTGTACCCATTTAATGGCCTGCATACAGCTCATAAAAGGATTCTGAAGTGCAGCCGCCTCTGACACTGAGCCGTAAGCGTGGAAGCTATGGTAAAGTTAAGCAGCAGATGGAAAATTCCACCGAAAATTTTATTGGCCATATGTCACTTTTGAGTGTTGGCCAACAAACTAAATTGGCAGCTAATATATAATGATTTAAACAGCAAAAAGAGCAGCTGCACTTTGATTTCTTATGCCTTTCCTCCAGGCTTTCCCAGCTTGCTGGGGTTTCTTGAGCTTTCTTTAACCCCATGCTGTCTTTCTGAATCTTTACCAGGTGGTGCCATCTTTGGAGCTGCGCTGTTGGCTATACTCAGCTTGGTTAGTTGATCTCTCTGCTCGTCCTTGTGGGCTGAGTTTTCCAACTTCTTCATCCTTATTATTTTTTAATTCAATAATAAAATGCTATGAAGCACGACTTGGATATTTTTATACTTCTGCGTGCTTGACTGTTTCTCTTCTTTTTTCCAAATCCCTTTGGGTATAGGGCCCCTTGTATTCTCTGTTGGGGTATCTGGGCTGGTCTTCTGCTCAGACTGCAAGGCCAGTTCTTGGAGTAGACAGTGGGAGGGCAGCTCATTCTGATTTATGAGGACATGATCTGGGATGGAGCTCTTCTGAAAAATTTCAACTCTTTTACTGTCAGAATCTTCTAGAAGGAAATAATTGAAATCAGGAATAAGTAGAACAGGCCACCTCTTGGCTCTTTAGTCTCTTTTCGGTCTTCTAACTCACGCAGTTGAAGTGCCAAGTCTCCACTCCCAGCTGCCATGGACATGCTAGCTGGCTTAGTGCTCGAAGCCTCATGGAAGGAGAGGCTTCTTGTTATAAATTGAGGGTTATACAGTTGTTTCTTGGGTCAGTGTGCTGGAAACCACCAGGAAAGGAGTGGGAGAACAATATGAATTTAAACTTGCATGCCTGCCAACAACTAACCCAATAACTCAATTTAGAAATATACGTTTGCTGAAGTTGTGTGATCATAAAATGGTTCTATAGTTGTTACTCTAACAAACTCAACCCAGGTTTCTGTATATTAATTCCTGCAAAACTCAGCCCCCTCTCTAATGTTATTCAAAAGACTTTGAACAGCATTGTGAATAAAAATTATAACAGGGTACATCAAACTGAATGATTTCTATAACATCTGGAGCAAAGCACATTAAATGAGGAGTAAAATGCACATTCATCATGGGTGTTTGGGTTTGTTTCTGTTTGTACTAAGAAAGGAAGTAAGAAATATATTTCCTGTGGGGATTTTTAGCTGTCTATTCCTGTGCTAAACTGGACACCTCACAGAAGAATTATAGTTTTGGTTTCAGTATTTATAGATTGATTCTCTTTTTAGGTCTGATTAAGATGTTGTCCTGTAACAACTTTGCTTTGGGGAATTTATCCCACAGATAGAATGGCTGTGTGAAGTCACGTGTGTACATGGTTAACCTTTCCAGCATTAGTTATGGAATCAGGAGATTGGAAACAACCCAAATGTTCATCAATGGAAAACAGACTAAACAATCACACACCAGAATGGAGTTGTATAAAAGAATGAAGGTGCTCCCTATGTACTGAGATGGAAAATGCTCTAGGACATTTGCTAGTAAAGGTCAGGTATAGAACACACAGTGTACAATGCACTACATTTTAACCCATGTAATATTTGTATACGCATATAGATGCTATGGAAGCATACCTAAGAAAGTAGGCTGATGGGAGAGCAAGAACAGAACCCATAGGAGGGAATAAGCTACTTTCTTCTTAACCTCTCAGAATCTGGCTTTTGGATCCACTGTTCTGAAGGAAGTTTCCCCTACTGGCTCACCTATTATGTCTTAAATACCAGACTCTCAACCTCCTTGATGTCACTGCCCGTTGTTGACCACACAGTCCTCTGGAACAAGGTAACTCCAGTGCAGTGCAACCAGAAATTCTCCCACTCACTCAACGTTTATGAACTTTTGCAGATACAGAGAGCAAAGGAGGAGGGGGCTAGCGTTTCTGAGGGCCTTTTCTCTTCGCAGAGATATCTCTTTCAATCATTACGATGGCTCTATGAGATAGATATTATTATTATCTCTATTTCATAGGAGAGGAAGATGAGGCTCAGAAAGCTTAATAGACTTGCCTCAAGCTGTATAACTCCTAGGAATGGGGTCAAGTCTTGGACCTCAGATGACTAGTCTCTAATGCAAGTTTATGAGAGCGTTTTGTGAATGAGAAATACAGCAGTGTTTTCATCCACCACTTGATCTTCTCTTCTCCCTGACTCTCCCCTGGACTATCCTCTTCCACCACTCCAGCTGCTCATTTCCACACTCCTCTGCTGACTCTTCTTCCTTCTCCTTGAATAAGATTGTCTCCAACGTCCTGCCCTTGCCCTCCTCTCTCTAGTTAACTCCTCTCCCCAGAAGAGTTTTGACTCTCATCCTTTGGGTGTGCCTTCCAAGCCCATGTCGATATCTACAGGCATTTATTTTTACTTGCTTGATGGCCATTTCTACCTGGATGTCTTGCTGGAACTTGAGGGCCAATATTCCAAAGAAGATATATTCCAAACCAAATATATCTTCTTTCTGCTCACAAACTGGTTCTTCTCCTTGTTTCGCTTTTCTGATAACACTACTCCTCATACTCCCCATCCTTAAGCTTAAAACCTTAGAGAAGACTTTGATTCCTTTTTATTTCCTTGCTTCCAGTTTTCAATAAGGAAAAAATTCTGCTGTTTGACTTCAATGGCCTTCATATAGCTTAGTTGCTTATCACATCTTGCCTGGGGAGTGCTCTCCTAAAGGACTATCCCCCCTCTAGCTTAGTTCCTTTCCTAACTATCTGACAAGTAATCTTCATATAGTATGACACCCATAAGATCTACATGAGGAAAACTTTCAAATGCTGATGAGGGACACACACAAAAAGACTTCATAAATGGAAAGCCCAGGAGTCCAAATTATTATAAAGCTAACAATCTCCCTAAATTAATCTATAAATTTAATGGGGCCTCAAGAAAAATACCAACATGAATTTTTCATATTTTTCTGTAACCAGACAAGCTGACCTTACAGTTCTTATGGAAAAATAAGTATGCTAGAAAATTCTGAAAAGGAGGAATAAAAAGGGAAAGCTAATCCCAAACAATAGTAAAATTATTATAAAGTGATGGTAATTAATATAGCTTAGTATCTGTACATGAATCAACAAGCAGAACAATAGACAGAATAGAATCAGAAATTGACCCCAATACTTTTATGAGGATTTAGTATTTGATAAAGACTCCATATCTTAATCAGTGGAGAGAAAATTTACAATTCAATAAATGGTGTTGGGACAATTATCTGGAAAATAATAAAGGTGTATTTCTTCTAACTCCTTATACCAAGATATGTTCCAGATAAACTATCGACATGAAAATTAAACTATCAAGGTTCTAGGAAAAAAATGGAAAAAATTTTTTAATGATCTTGGAGTAGAGAAAAACTTTCTAAGTGTGATAAAATTCAGCAGCCATGAAAGAAAAGATTAAGTTTGGATCTAAAAATCAGACATTTCTGCATGGTGAGAAACACTATAAAGTCATCAGACAAATCATAAACATGAAAAATAGTTGTAACAAAAATGTCAGACAAAGGACTAAATTTGTTAACATATAAAGAACTTCTACAAATCAATAAGAAAAAGATCAACACTCTGGGGGGCTGGCCGGGTGGTGCAGCGGTTAAGTGCACACGTTCTGCTTCTCAGCGGCCCAGGGTTCGCCGGTTTAGATCCTAGGTGTGGACATAGCACCGCTTGGTATGCCGTGCTGTGGTAGGCGTCCCACATATAAAGTAGAAGAAGATGGGCATGGATGTTAGCTCAGGGCCAGTCTTCCTCAGCAAAAGAGGAGGATTGGCAGTAGTGAGCTCAGGGCTAATCTTCCTCAATAAATAAATAAATAAATAAATAAATAAAAAGGAAAAAGATCAACACTCTAATAGAAAAATTTACCACGGACATGAACAAATAACTCACAAAAGGAAATACAAATGGAACTAAGATAGTTGAAATATACCTAGGTTCCCATATGATAAACAAATGTAAATCAAAACTGCATTTTTCACCTAATATCCAAGATTTCTTAAAATGTATTTTTGACAGCCTATTTTTGACAAGAGTGTAGGGAAACAGACATTTATATATTTTTTGTTTTTTTGAGGAAGATTAGCTCTGAGCCAACATCTGCTGCCGATCCTCCTCTTTTTGCTGAGGAAGACTGGCCCTGAGCTAACATCCATGCCCATCTTCCTCTACTTTACAGCTGGGACGCCTACCGCAGCATGGCTTGCCAAGCAGTGCCATGTCCTCACCTGGGATCCGAACCGGTGAGCCCCATGCCACTGAAGTGGAACGTGCGAACTTAATTGCTGCAACACCAAGCTGGCCTCCTATACATTTTTTAAGGTGTGTAAATTAATACAACTTCTAAAGAGGATGATTTCAGAGTATTTATCAACATTTGAGACATGAATCCTCTTTCACACACCAATTCTATGTTTAGGAATTTCTCCTACAGTTCTATCTAAGCTTGTGCCTGAAGACATATATATAAAGATATTAACAGCAGCTTTAATTGTAATAGCATATTTTACCATCTCAAAAAGAAATGGAAAAAAAAAGCATGAAGCCTGCAACGTTTACCCTTTCCTTAAAACTCCTGATTGTTTCCCACCAGCTTTTGACATTCTTAGGACCTGGCCCTAGCCCACCTTCTTGGTCCTGTATTTTGGTCTTCTCCACTCCTTACACTGGGCCAAATGAGCACGTTCCTTTCCCTGCGCATCCTATTTCCATACCTCTCTGTGCTGATCCTGCTGCCCCACGTGCACTCTTCTCAGCCTCTCCCCTCTTCCTCAGCTATGTGACCCCTAATGTCCTTTATAATGTGACTCACATGCTACTTCTTTCAGAAGAGGTCCTTGACCCCTCTGCAATTCCCATCCTTGCTTGAAAATCTCTGCCTCCTCTGACTTTTGACGTGACCCTTGTGCCACAGCAATTTGGAGTGGTGTCTGGAATGGCAGTGATATTTTGATGTTCTCCACTTGATGCAACTTTTTAATCTGGGGACATTTTGTTACAACCTAAATAAGACATCACGAACTTACAGTTTTTCCCCAAAATGAAAATATTTTATTGTTTATTTCTGATTATATAAGTAATATGCTTATACTCAAAAAAGTGGAAAATCTCAGGACTCGTTCCCGTGTGTTTGTATGTGTGTGTGTGTATGTGTAACAGAATAAAGGAAAAATAGGTTTCCCGGAGTAGATTCCCGGGTCTAAGAATATACATATTTAAATTTTTGACATATGTTGCCAAACTATTCTGTGGATAGATTCGTAATTCATTCAACAACATTTATTGAGGCTCTAGGATGT